TGCTGATGAAAGTGGATCATGAGTAAACTAAATATTGTCTCTGCGAAAAGTCAAATATCAAAATTGCACAACAGTAAAGCGCCCACAGCAGAAAATTGTCATAATACTTCGTATTCCCCATTTATTTACTTTTCAGACTCTAATGTCGAAAATCTCTCCAAGTTTTATGTTACTTTTTCACTGACAAGACTTTGATTTTTATTTTTATAAATCTCACATTTTACGTTTATACGTACTCGCATGCGTCTTAAATCTTGAGCAATTTTTGCATTTGACAAGATTTGGCAATTTTTGAATACAAATTCAGGTGAAATTATTATTGTGTATTCTGATGTGCTTCACGACTCGCGTTGACAAAATGCCATTAAATTATAAAGCAATTAGGTGTACAGTCCACACGCTAGAATGTATTTACTTTCAAGGAAGCCAGTGGAACTTTAAATAGCCCCTCGTGAAAACAAACTGTGGTGACTTGAGTGGTTGTATCGCCTTAGGCCGAAATAAGTCCTTATAGCTTTTATCTCCTGAAACAAGAATGTCAATTAGTTAAAAGTGCACATTTTAAGCCATTCGTGCACATCATCAAAACCACGACATTTTCTACGTATCAATAAGAGTATAAGATAGAATGCCCTGAAATATTATGGTCAAAGTGGCAAGCGATACGTAGATAACACCATATTGGCTTGTTGACTTCCTTGCATGACAATCTAGAAAGGCAGTGTCAATCTCTGTCAAGGCACAATTCAATTCTGTGAGCTTTTCTACTTGTCAAAACTAGTGTACAAAAAACAGCATAATTTCTGTAGCTCTTTCTTCAAAGTTTTCTTCTCGCTGTATGTACTTCTGATATGAATAAGTAACTCTTTTTGGGTATAAGATAACACTTTCACATTGGAACATGTGAAGAGTAAACGAAACTGAACGACCTGGACAAAAATTGTTCTCGTAAATATTGTTATTTACATATACCCCATGTCCATATACGTACGTAAATACGTACAAAAAACAAATGCTTGTTAAGAGTTGGAGCTAGCAAAAGGCATATGTTGCACGGAAAGTCATGAGATTCAGCCGAGTCTGTTTGATATGTAGGACAAAGACAAAGAGATGCTATCCCACGAGGAGAAACTACAAATATGAGACAAATTGGTGGTTGCTTGGCTTTCGGGACGACCACTTGGTTGGCTGGAGACTGGAGAGATAGGATTGTGTGGTTGAGTTTGTGGATGGATGCAGATGAGATGAAATGGCCACCATGACAGTTTATTCTTGTGCACAATTTTGCAAATATAATGTTATAGCACGGCCATAAGACTGTAGCCGAGGGAGAATGGATGAGATGGCTGACACATTTTTTGAACCGAGGTTGTTTATTCGCATTCCCAGCACGAGAAAGGATTTGCAAGTCTCCGTAGCACGCAACTGGGTATTCATTGCGTCTCTATTTCCTCCCATTACGAATAACAACGTTGTACTCGTACGTATTTATTTCATGGTACAGGATGATCCACTTTCTCTTGACAAAATGAGACAGAATGGACTCGTCCGTTATGTGTTATAAATTAAAAGTACATATTTAATTGGCCAATCTCCTTTATGGTCATTGATAATTCAGCTAACTTCTACTGCCTATTTTGCTGTATGTGGTACTTTTGCCAGCCTTATTTGCCATTATTTTAAGCTCACATGTATCGTGGGTAGCATATTTTCTACATGGTCAACGATATTGCTATTTCATGTATGTGTCAGCAGAACTGTGGTGAGAGTGAGACTGGGTCTCGACTTGATTGTTGGAATCTAGACTATATTTCATGGTCATTTATTTTACTCATTTAAATTAATGGTTGTGTCCGTTGCGAATACAACATGTTAGCCATAAATAGTCGCATTTGTTGCTGCTTTTCATCATGGCAATTCACATCAATAATTCATTAGTTTTCTTCCAAATGCAAAGTGCGGTGTGCAAATGCTGGAGCCTGGTTACGTGTGTGCTCGGTCAAACTTTGGTCAGTTATCATTAGTAGATTATCGCCAAATCAGATTTGGTACGATGGCCAAAAGCACAGGAAGCTTTGAGTGTTGACTTTTGGAAATGTGTGCCAAATCGGTCAATCGGTGTCATTTCCTTGAAGATGCAAGACAGCTGCTGCTCCGCTCTATTGGTACGCCACAAACAAGTCCCCTTGCCAAAGTAATCCGCAAAGGACCCATTTCATTGAGTGGAAGTTAGGAAGTTGCTCTCCACCACCGAAACTTGAGTCCGAGGAGATGAGAGAACTAAACTAAACTCTCATGTCCACGGGTAATAGTCGAGTCGAGCTGCTGTTATCATCTCCTGTTGTGTTCCTTGGTGTGTGCTTTCATGAGATTTGATGGGAGTGGTATTGTTGTTCCATGTGTGTCAAAATTTAGCTCACTTTTACGTCAATGTTTTCTAACGAGCCCATACATTTATGTTCTAAGAGTTGGGAAATTGTAAGTTTTCACACTCAACAGATTTGTTTTGGGGGATCACCGCATGAATAAATTCATGAGTGTGATGCGGTTATATGTTTGTGCCGTGTACAACAAGTCTCACTCCTTCGTCTTAATGGTGGTGCTGGGTTGTCGCCTCTTTGGGAGCCTGTGTTAAATGGTCAGTCAAATGCTTATGGTTCTTTCTGAATATTTTATGTGGTGTGGTTCCATGTCGTCGTCAAAGTGGTTTTGTCAAGCGTTCAGGCAGAAAGCCAAATAGCTAGAAAATCCGCTCACTGCCACTGTGGTATAGATCACACTTATCTGGGATGACTCTTCGTCCTGTCCTTCTTGGAGATAAGCTCTCTAAGATATTGATTACATTTGTTGTGGTATTTTTAAGCACAGGGAGGGAAGCAACAATGTAACATCGTGTGGTTACTGTATGTCGACGGCAGGAACAATTGTGTCAACAGAAATCCAAGGAAAAAATCTGGAATTTATGTGAGCGTACACTTTGGCTCTTAACCACTATGATAAAAAATTAGATAAATTAGAGCATCGAAATTACTGTCAGCGCTTTGTAAATAGTAATTAGTGGATAATAAATAAGTACGTATGTGTACTGACATAATGAGAATTCGCAGTAGCCTGAATTAGCTGAAATAACATGCACTGATAACATGGCGTGACGCAGCTACTTGTTTGTTTAACTCTTCACTTTTATAAATAACTTGTCACTGAAGCATTAACAAGTTCTCGTAAAGTACAATGTCCTACTAAACCCTGTTGCTGACACCACTTAACTTTTTTTCCGCTCATTCATTAAATACTTCCTCAAACTTAATGATAAGCACTTCACATGCCCAAAGTAAATAAATCGGTTTCCAGAACTGAGTCAACACGTTGAAAGGACATTGTCTCAGCCCATACAAACAATCGGGTTGGAGTGGCTACAAGTATGAACACACATACAGCTCAAGAAATGACATTTCTCCACAATAATGCGTATTATGGATGGATGTGGAATCTGCCTTCTCGCAGGTTTTGCCAGTCGTCTCTTTGTTGAGAGGAGGACTTTGAGTTATCGACTTTTCTAAAAGATAAATAGAAACATTGGTATCGCTTGCCAAGATATGTGTTGGCTTTTCATATTGAATTAGAAGTGACACAAGATTTGTTGCTGTGTCCTGTAAAAAAGAGACACAACTTATTGAAGAGCATTGAGAAATTAACACATTACTTCTTCGTTAGTCTAGCCATTCGTAGTAGGGCACAAGTTTTTCAAGAGTTCTGTTGTGCTGCCATGCATATAAGTACATATGTATGACTCGTCTTTGTGTTCTTAACTATCGAACTACTGCGCCAGTGGTCTCTGAAACCCTTGTTGAAACTTAACACTTAAAGCATTAACCCAGGCAGCAGCAATAATAATAATCTTCGTGCCGCAGTCAAGTAAAACTTTTCCAACGCTGAGGAGCTGGAGTCAATTACTCTCCTGTTTGAATAAACAAATCAGTTTCTAAAAACTCTGGTGCACGTAGACATAACATGGACACGACTGCCTTTCCTGCGGGTTAGATTTTACAGGCGGTGGGAGCGTGTCCGATTGTTGCTGAAGAATAAGGTTTAAGGTTGAGCAGTTTTAGTTTATGTCCCAGTTCCAAACTCAACAGCATTGTTGTTCGACTGCAATTTTGAAGAGGATCGTTCTATTTCTTTTTGAGCCATTTTTGTCTCCGGAGCAGGCAGACATTTGAACTGGTTGACTCGAGTTATTGCATCCGCTTCACCTTTCTAGAAAGAAACTTTTCGAAAAGTCTTCCCACAAAAGTGAAGCTACACTTGACTTTATGTTTGTGGGTTTTGATGGTGCAAATATGAAATTGCGGTTTTCTTCTGGAGGGGTGAGGACTCGAGTTAAAAGTTTAATGGCGATTTCATTTTATAAGTCGAGAAATGGCTTGTGAACCGTGATTGTGAACAAAGTGGGCTCTGTGAATTGGATTTGGCCAACTTTCTCTCAAAATTGGGATGGATAAAGTGGATTTGTTCCACGACTATAGCGAACACTATAGCGAATGAATTGCCCAGACTGCTGTAAATATTGAGCCGTGGGTGTAGGAAAATGTTGAGGATTCGCAAACGAAGGATATAAAAACCAAAAGTTTTTTTTGCTTGAGAAAAAAATTGGAGTTTCCACCAATATTGTAAACTCTATATCAGTTCATTTGTTCTTGTCTCGTTCTTTCCATTTTGATTGAGCCAAAGGTGTGCAGCTCAATCGATACCCAAACTTTGTCGTTTTGTGAACATCTCTCAAGTCATAAAATGTTTGGAGATCCACATGTTCTATATTTGCACAACCAGGTAAAACTCCCATAAAATATTCGTGTCTTGCTTGCTCTAAAAATTTTAACATGATAACATTTCTCGATTCTCGACATTCTACAATCGTACAGCCACGTCCAAAAACTACCAACCCAAGTTTATAATCAGTATTAAAAGAGATGACAAAATGCATATAAATGAATTTACAGATGCGGCAGAAACAAAGAGAAATGTCACAATCCTTTGAAGAAACTCGGCCATTGTCTTCAGAAGCGTCAGAAATTGGATTCGATGAAAATGGATCCATGGCTGTCAACCGAAGAGACAAAAGCCGGGTGCAAATCCAGGTACTTTACGAAATCAAGAGCTGTAAAAAATGCAGCCAAGCAAAATTCTTGCATATCAATGAAAGTTCGTAGTTTGTTTCATACAGTTGAATAGCCTTACTGCATTCAAAGTTTCAATCTCAATCAGTTTAAAAGTTAGATGTTCGGTTGCAGCCGATCGTTGATTTCATAATAGTAGCTGATCCATAAGACTTGGATTGACAGAGTTTAATGATTTTCGCCCATCTCTACTTGCTATATAGACCGCATTGAACGTCTTTATTGACATTATTTAGAAAGTCATTATGAGTATTGGTTACGAAAGAAGATTCATAAACGTGTATATCTTAAAGTGAAAGCGAGTTGTTATACATAATGCGTTAATTTTCGTAATAAAGTTGATATGAATGAACTTGAAGACCTACATACATAAATAGGTTAGGATAACAAAGAGGCCCAAGAGTGTGTATTGTGATGTATACTTCTGATCCTGACTATAAATTATTATGCAACCAATTTAAATGCATTCGCAATCTTACCAAGTTTTGGGTTATCATTCATGTTCATGAATAAGTTTTTCGTGACTTTCGACTTTCAAAGGGTCCAACTCTCCAACAAAATCAGCAGCGAAAGCGGAGCTAAAGTTGAAAGTTGGGGTTTGTTATCGTCCATTCATTTTACACTTTGACATAAATTAAGGTGGAAAGTTTCTTAAACATGTTGAAGGAGAAAGGCCATTTCTCTGCATACGCGACCCTGGACTAGAAACATGGCTGGGAAATTGTGTTTAAAGCTGATGAAAGCACTAACAAAATGGTTTATGAGGCGGAGGTCGAAACATCTGTTTGATTTTTTCACCAAGTTTATGTTTCCAGTTTAAAGAACACTTTGACGCATTTGGCGATTATTAGCATTGTCATCAAAATTGAGGCTTTGAGCAATGTCAAGGAAAATAAAGCATTGTTGTTTCATAGCTTTGGGGTGCCATTAAGAGAAAATTGGTGATTAGCTGTGGCACGTACATAAAAATAGCATTTGGTTATAAAACCAAGGCCTTGGGTGAAGGGGAGCTCATCCACTCGACTCACTCTCTTAAAATTCGAATTATTTTCACCATTTCTCTGTTTTCATTACGGATTTCCCCATTTTCTGCGCCCCTGCTCTGATTTGATTACTGCATGTGCTCTGAAGTATTTGGGCAACCTGTGTGTACTCCTATGCGTCTCTGTCATAACGAATATCTGCGTATAGCTCATCGCCCCACTCCCCCCAAAATACTTTACTAACTGCAACAGAAAATTGTGAACAAATTAAATGAGGTCCTCTTCTCCCCCTTCTCGACATGCATCCATGCAATTGTTGTGATAAAGATCTGCTACAGTTCTTTCTAGTTAACGTGGTACAACTGCCATATGAATCATTTTGTTTCATCTCAAATTATGATTAAAAACCCATTTGGAATTGATTTTATTTTCAGCAAAATCGACCATTAACGCGCTACTTGCCAGTTCGAGGGGACGAGGATGAGTTTGACCTGAAGGCACATATTGAGTCATCTGGACATCAGTTGGAGCTCTGTCCCCACATCACCGTAACCCGAACATCCGCCCGAGGCTATCTCTCAAAACTGGGAAGTCGATTTCACAACTGGAACAAGAGATGGTTTGTCTTTGACCGAGAAAAGCGAACCCTCGTCTACTTCTCTGACAAGAATGAGAAAAAGTCCAAATCAAGAGGAGGCGTGCACTTTGAGGTATTATTTACAACCACCGGTGATTTCACTTTCATGCTAATCGTTTGTGTTTTCCGTCATTAATTTCATTTAAAATTGGTCACGAGTAATTCAAAGCTTCTTTCTTCGATAAGCTGTCCCTTCTTGCTGAAGTGAGATTCTTGGGGAAATGGGAACATGGAACTGTGCAGTTACTAGTTGATAAGTATTTTTATCACTGGTCGCACACCCCAATATCCCAACTGGGTAGGAGAACATCCTTTTATTTATGATGGTCAGCGATCCATTTATGACAGTAATAAAAAACCTTGTATCGTCTCGATAAAACATTCATATGAGGTTGGAGCATTGACAGATCAGAAAATTGAGTCAAGCACAGAATACAGATATTAAGGTCTTGTGGACTATTTCGCAAGATAAATCCAGTTAGGTCGGACATAAAGTCATTGGCTGGAGAAAGTTCGTAAGGAGAGGATTGGATATCAAACCATGTATTTAATTGGTATCACAGAGAGAGAGATACGCTGTCAAACAGTGCAATTGATGTCGTATTTAAAAGATAGAGAAAAAGGCAACAAAGTTGATGGGACATAAAATAATTGTAAAAAAGTTTGCACTGTAACTTTGTCAACTTTAATTTTTACCCACACTTGGTGTGCAAAAGGTGTACAAAAAGGAAAGCAGTCAAAGAATATTTAGGTACTAGCTAAAAGACATGCACAACCTAAATAAAAAATGCGTGAGAAATTTCACCAGAAAACTGGCGAAAGTCAACCAGAACAATTTGAATTATTTTTACTTTCTCCAAAATTCTGTTGCTTCCTCTGTGTCTCGGGCTGCATGCATATTTACCTCAATTCTCCTCCAGTTCTCAATGTATTATGCACCATCGAGATTCTAGATAAATCAATGAGCTCAACACATTATCATTTGACATTTTTATCATTCAGGCAATCGAGGAAGTGTATCTGGACCACGTGCAATCTGTGAAGTCACCAAACCCGAAATTAACTTTTTGCGTCAAGACGTTCAACCGTGTGTTTTATCTCCTTGCTCCATCTGCAGAAGCGAGTCGGATTTGGATCGACATCATTTTCACAGGGGCTGAAGGCTATAAAGAATTCAAATGCTCCTCTTAAACCCTCATTTATTGACACAGCCCTCCTCGACCCGTATCTCGGCCTCCTCTCCCAATTGAAAGTGAAAGCCCGTCTCCTCCTCCGTCTCATATCGTCCGATGGGTGGAGGGGTGGGGCAAAGTGAAGACGCAGAGTGATGTGACACTACTACTTTCATCGTATTCATTATATCGTGAGGCGTGTGAGAGCCGTAGATTATATTCAAAACTTTAGCAAATAAAGGTTTCTCATCCTCCGTGTGGTTGGTGTGGATGGTGAAAGTCCGCGTGGCTGGAACAACTCCTTTTATCCACTTCATTGATCTGTATCAGCAGATGGATGAACGTAGGACGTATTTCTAAGGAATAAGAAAATTTCCAAGATTTGGACCACGATGACGACTGGGAAGAAAGGACATTGTGGATGAGTAGTGACTTGGACTGAAGATGAGTGCCTCTGGCCAACCTCAAGAAGAAAGGAACATCGCCATCGTCATCATCGTCATTCGCCACCACTGCTACAAAAACCATTTTTACATTATGCTGTCCACGTTGGAAAAAGATTTGTTCCTCGTTCCTCCTTCAGAATGTTGAAGTACATATCCTCGGAAATTTTGGAGGAAAATGGTATGAATCTGGTGGTTTGAAGGGAGGAAGAAAAAGCAGGCAGGCAGGCAGGCAGAGAAGGAGGTTTGAAGGACACAATGGGAAGAAGGAAGCCGTGCCAAGTCAAAGTATTACAACAGAGCAGCAGCAGCAGCAGGAGAGAGTAGATACCATTGTGTGTGTGCAAAGTTGGAACTTTGGCAGGATGAGATGACCGCGTTATGTTTCGTATCAGCGAAATATAACCCCAGTGGTTTAAGGAACGATGACGACGACGACCAACAATATATGTACCAGCATCCAACCCAAATGTCATGACCATTAACCTTATATTATTATTCGGGAGCAACTTGTGTTCCATATTAATCTTCAATAGGTGCTTTCTCCAGTCTCTCGAGCCATATTATTCTGATATTTTTGATATTGTACGAAATGGAGGAAAGCCTTCAATTTGTCACCCAGCCCAAGCCATTCATCTTGGGAGAGTAGCACAAAGTGTACCAGGAGCTCGGGACATTTATCTTTGAGAAAGATGTTCTGTCTTCTTCCTAAATTCGATTGAAAGTGGTTTGATTCATTGGTTTCACAAAGGTGTGTTCCGCATTCAGGGCGGCCAATTTTGTGGATACTTGTCCATATTTCTATAATGGTCGGGTTCACTTTCTTTCCTCTCTCGTTTATATTTCATGACCATATCCACGCGTATATATAATGTACACACCATCTTGTGCAAATGCTAGACAGATGGATATCCCAATTTTGCTGGCGATGCAGTAACAGACTGTAAATTCTTATAGGGCGCAGTTATCAGTATTTATTATACATAGGCAGCAAATGGAACATGACCTCGCCACACTGTCATCGTTACTTTTTAATAGCAATTTACATTTGATTGACGAATTGCCACTGAATATTTTAATTAAACTGGAGGATTATTATTATGCATTAATACCAAATAGACTTGATGAAATTATTCCCGAGCGCATTCATGCGTATGTTTTCATGTATATATAGTACGTAGCATAGGAGTCGTACATGTCGGTAAATTTGACGATAATTAACGAGCTTCTTCTGTGTCATCCTCCGACACACAAATTAGTGTGAAATGTCAAGAACGGAAATTAGTAAGGACGGAAATCAGTTTAATTTCAGAATTTGCCACATATTTAGCACATTCTAGTTGGCTAATCCTAGGATATTATAAATATGTACATAAATATGTATGTATGCACGTATAGGGTTACTCAACAAAAATTGCTGCTAACAATATAGCTATACATAAGTGCTGCTTGTCTGCCTACGGTACTGAAAATCCAGTTATTCCGTCTATTAATACTTTATATTTACACACCATAGTTAATTTAATTAATTGTCCTTAGTTTTATATTCTGTATGTACAATTGCAAAAGTTGATGTAAAAATTTCTGTGGCTGTACAATACAGTAAATAGAATACAGTACATGTAATCGGCGTAGAAGTTAATTAATAAATAAGTCGGGCTTAATGACATTGAGTAAGCATTTCCCATTAATAACCACTTGGTACATGAGTGCTAGTCGATGTTTAGTTCAAATAGCGAATCAGGCTAAAACCACAAAACCGTCGTCGATTAGATTCATTGGCTTTCGTTCTAAATTTATTAGACAGATATTAGTAGCTCTATACTGCGAGTTCCACTAATCTTACTTGATCATTATTTCTGGTTAATTTTAGGCGACAGTGGTCGACACATATTTCACTACATAGCTAAATATATACTACTAATAAAAACATGTATGTAAAATACATATAAATGTGCAATGATTTTGGTCTCTTAATTTGTTGAGAGGTTGTAGATATGATCCTGTACATATGTATAAATGTTAAGTATATAATCGATAAAATAGTGCAACTACTTGATAATACGGAATAATTTTGTCGAAACACTTTTATAAATGTTTCTAATATGTGCACTCATCTATAATTAACATATTTCTACGCTAGTAATACGTATTTATACTGTTTAATGTGACAATGAAACAATATTAATAAAGATCACATTATGATTTTAAAATTAGTCCGTTTTGTAAAAACATGCCATGACTCATTGCCATATTTTGGACTTTCAATTGTTCAATAATTAACTAACAATAAATGACTACCCAGAGCGCATAAACTTTTTGTTGTCAGTGATTTCTCTCAACGAGAATTCTACCATAATGTGCTTCAATACAATGTTACAGTATCGCTGACTGGTCCAAAGTAATCTCAACAGTTGACTTCACTTTCACCCCCCACCCGACATGGAGCTCAACATTTGTCCGATTTGAATCTATCGCAAGAGAGCATTTTCGCATTTCCCTCCACTCACATAATGATTGTAAACATGGCATATCAACGGAGAAAGTCTGACAATAATAAATAATGAGCACATCTATGTACGCATAGCATGCAGACTTTACTTATCAGTATATTCAGCAGAGCCTGACTTTGGAAACAAACAAACTTGTATTTAGTTCAATTTCGGAGAAGGAAGTTGGTTTTGATCAGCGAGTAACGCGATATTTGTTATTTGTAGGCCGTACAGGTAGTAAAATGGCAACATTGGAAAGCATAATAATTTGGCAAATTTCTATTCACATCGCAATTTAATGGGGTCTCACCCCCGCTCGTTTATGGGCATGAAACCTGGTAAATAAAATAAACATTGCTCAAACATTTACATTACTTATTATTACTGTTCTACATACCTACACTACACATACCACGAAGGAAAGAAGTTGGAGAAAGTGAAGGCAAACTCTCGTTCAGGAGGAGAAAATGTTTTTTGTCCCGACTGCTCTGTTTTTGGTTTTGCTAAACTTGTGTATGTAGGAGCTGATTCACATTATTATTAGTGGTGGTGGCAGGCAGGTCTCGATACAACGGCGACGACGACGACCAACTACACCATAAACCGCTTCTCTGGAGGGTAAATCAATAGACTGAGGATTTGATAAGACTATGTGTTGAGTGTTGAGTAGAGGAGTGCAGATAACGGGCATTTGTAGGAAGTAATCATTATAATTAATGAGCCAAGGCGTCTCTAAATTGCTACGGCATTTTCGCATTTTCTCTCCTTATCCTTCCCCATTCGATTTGATGATGGAGAGGCAGAGAGAAAGCACATTTCATTAATCGATTTATATATACATACGATACGTGTGCCCATACATATAATATGTGCATATAGACTGGTAGGTAGGGCCCCTCAGTTCCGTCGCCAGTCTACTGTTGCTTCCACTAAACTAATGGGTCCAAACTTTATGAGGCTGACCTAGGCGATGACCCACAAATCTGATGGGGCATGGAACATGGTCCATTTCATATCCTTATGTACCTTACAGCAGTATAGAGTGAACAGCAAGGTGTGAAGTAACGGAGTGGGGTCGACGATATCGTGGGCGGCAGGAAATAAAGTAATTTTCATCCAGTGATTGCCAAACGGTGAGATTGTTCCGTGCAGATATCTCGTCGTCGTTTTATTCCGCATTTTATTTCTATAGCTCAGGAACAATAAAAGCTACCCACGTGTATCAGAAAATATGAAGAAATGTTTCGATCTCGGTGGTGGTCCTGCATGGTGGTGGCGCATCTCATGTGCCTTATTCTTGTATCTCAACACTTTGCTGCGTATCAATGTCCATAGCGTCATAAAATAAGATTGGAAAATATCTAGGAGAATTGATGTGAAAGGAAAAAGTTTCTAATATAAGAGAAGCATAAAAAAGTTGGGTGATTTCCACAAAAGTGTGTCTGTGTTATTGCGGAAGATTATGCTCACTTACAAGACCAAGTCTTGTGAAACCAGGGAAAATGAGATTCTAAAGGAAGAACTGTAGTAACTTGGGCGGTGAAGCCGCATTGAGAGACACGAGAGTACATTGTCCAAAATGGCCAGATTTGAGGAAAAAAGTCCCCGAGCACTTTTCTCCTAATATTTTTGCATATTCTGAGCCCTAGGTGGCCTAGGATGTGTTCATAAAAAATTTGACGAGCCACACCCACTTTGGGTGAGGTTCTTTCCTTGTGGGTTTATGGCCAATCGCCCAAACGAAATTTGTAGCCCAAGCGATTATACACTTTCAGTAAAAATTTCAACCAAATCGGTCCATAAACCAAAAAGTTATTAAGGGTAAAACTTTGGCGAAAGGTAAAAAAGCCCTACTTTGGGGGCGCGGTTCTCTGAGAGGGGCAAGTAAAGAACTCCAGAAAGCATTGCAAATAGTGATCCCCAGGTAGATCTTCTCAATCCAAAAAGAACTGAGTTTCCATATCTGCCCCTTTCCAAGATATGAGGCCGGGAACATTGAAAAAAATCTTGGCGAAATTGTCCAAAACGGGCGAAATCAAACATGACGTAGAGCGATAAAATTTAATATCTAGCTTCAGCTGGTCCTAAAAAGTACATCGCAGGTGAAATTGAGCCATGTCGTCATGGAACGACATCGACATGTCGAAATTTCGACATGACTGTATAGCGCTCAAATTCAAAACAAATAATCCCCTACCTCTCCACAAACGCATAAACTTATTTTTTTCATGTCGACATCCAATTTTGGAAAAAATTGAGTTCGTTTTGAATTTGAGCGCTATACAGTCATGTCGAAATTTCGACATGTCGATGTCGTTTAATGACGACATGGCTCAATTTCACCTGCGATGTACTTTTTAGGACCAGCTGAAGCTAGATATTAAATTTTATCGCTCTACGTCATGTTTGATTTCGCCCGTTTTGGACAATTTCGCCAAGATTTTTTTCAATGTTCCCGGCCTCATATCTTGGAAAGGGGCAGATATGGAAACTCAGTTCTTTTTGGATTGAGAAGATCTACCTGGGGATCACTATTTGCAATGCTTTCTGGAGTTCTTTACTTGCCCCTCTCAGAGAACCGCGCCCCCAAAGTAGGGCTTTTTTACCTTTCGCCAAAGTTTTACCCTTAATAACTTTTTGGTTTATGGACCGATTTGGTTGAAATTTTTACTGAAAGTGTATAATCGCTTGGGCTACAAATTTCGTTTGGGCGATTGGCCATAAACCCACAAGGAAAGAACCTCACCCAAAGTGGGTGTGGCTCGTCAAATTTTTTATGAACACATCCTAGGCCACCTAGGGCTCAGAATATGCAAAAATATTAGGAGAAAAGTGCTCGGGGACTTTTTTCCTCAAATCTGGCCATTTTGGACAATGTGGAGAGCCGGTAATATTCGTCTAATTTTATTTTGTCCAGCCTCTTTTTCCACCACCGTCACCACTTTGCTTCAGTTTTTTGGCAGCCAGCCACCACCATGCTTTATGTACTCCTCCGCTCCAAATCAGTTCACCATAGGCTTGCTCTCTTGCATAAAATTTGTGTTTACATTTCTCACTACAATTAAATTTGTAAAAATAATTACCCTAGTGGTTTTTGTAATTACTATCAACATGACAAATGCATAAAATGCTATTGGAATTGCGTTCTTGCGGAATTAATTAATTGGAAATACTGAGACACATAAAGACGTCTGAATGCAAGAGGTCAAACCTTCCCGTTTGGTCACACCCGGCGTGTCTCCGCCGTCGCAAGACGTGCCACAGCCGCCGGAACGTGGCTTATCGTCGTCATCACCGTCGCCACAACGTGCATGGTTGGAAAAGTTTCTTAAAGAATTAATGTTGTTTGGTATATTGTTGTCTTCAGAACCAGAGGTAATCATTTGGGCCATTTATGAAAGAATTGAGTTGTATTACAAACAAAGACATATCAACATATTAATTATTCTTCTCGAATTATTTTTAGGTGCAATATGTAGCTCTGAGAAACATCAATTTGATTGTGCAAAAGCGACCCGCTTGCTGCCAGCAGTTTAACCGAAAGGACTCGAGATTAGTGGGGCATTTAGTCGCAGATACTTTAAATATAATTAATTTTATACATATCTGGAGATTGTAAAAAGAAAAAGATTTTCACTCATTTCGTACGTTTATTTCAGAAATAGTAAAATATATATGGACATGACATTCACAAACCGAGCAATACAAGGAATGTCTGGATTTGCAGTTAAATTCAATAAAAATAGTTTTGGGCTACTTCCAAATCAATCCTGTGAAGCGTCTTTGTCCGTTAATACTACTGGTCCTGTATGCATCATTCATAACTTCATTCAGACTTTCCATAATCCTTTCTGGCTGAACTTTTACCCTCGGTCGACGAAGTTTCTGTTGCAGTTGGCGAATCCTTTTTTTGTTGTCCGTGGTTGAACTTGGACTGGTTTCAGGTGACGAAATGTTGGATTGAGGTCGAGGACTAGATACGGATGACGAAGGGGAGCAAGGCGACTCGAAGCTTCCACTAATTTCCGGCTGCGACACGTCCAACGACGGCGGTGACACGGCAATTGATGTTACTTCTTTTGGTAAAATAGGGATGAATTTAATACTGGGACTAGGTCGGATAATTTCACTGGGTGTAGAAACTGTTAATAATTGCTCCTGCGACACAAAAAATCTTGATGGAAGGGCGGATGGTTTTATTCTTCTTAGAATTGTTAAACTGATCATCCTTAAAATGTAGGTCGCAAATCATGGAGACGGGGGGAACATTTTGACAATCGAGATCCAAATACTCACACCACTTCTTGAATCTAAGCGATAGAAAATATTGCAACTTAATATTCTTTATTAGAATGCCAAAATTATTTTCCATTTAATTTATTAACACGCCTGACCTGTCTTGCTGGGATGGAAATTGATAAAACTGAGCTTCCGGATTTTTATGTTTTGTTTTAGCACACCTTGGATATTTACAACAGGTTATTTTCAGTGTCCTTGGTGGTGGTGACCCCCACGGCTGGGTCACTTCATTTGAAGGCAGGGACACGTGGAGGCTGGAAAATATTAACCCAATGTATTTAATGTCTTAATTCAAAAAAAATTGCTCAAGTAATGTTTACAGTACGTGTGCATGTGTATTATATAATTTAATGTGCAAATAGATATGTGTACTTACCATGTACTGCCGAGGGGTACACTGTTTAATTGCAAGTAACTTTTTTAAATAATTAATTGAAGAAATTTAAGCTGGCTAAAAATCGATCGGACTGGAACTGTATTTTTCTTTGCCACGCAAAGGAAACCATGTGGTGGTGATTGAATTGCATCAGCTTTTTCTCATGCTGAAACTGCACACAGTTATTTGGCCGATCTGTTAAAGCCGCCCATTTGCAGGAAGAACAAAATAATATTAAGCTCCGCTGGTTGGCTGCTGAGCTCTTCCATAAGCTTCACTCAAATACATTGCATGAGTCGTTCCTCTTCCCCTAGTTTATTTCATATTCCATGTTGTGGAACTGGTTGAAATTCATTCATTTTGAGGTTGGTGAGTATAAAACATGCTGAAAACTGTTAAAAAACTTTGTAAAAAATATTACGGTGATAGGAACCTAATGGAAGGATTTGATTTACGTATGTAGTTTAGGATTGATATTTTTGTTTATTAAATCGCAATTAACTTGAAACATAGATGATACCTACAATTGAATGTAGAATAGCTGAACATAATAAAGAAGTACAACAATATACAGTCAATGGAAAAAGTATTGGCAACACCCACGCAAGCTAAATAAAATTGGTTATAACTTTGGCATGCGTTATCAAATTAGCATGAAACTTTGAACACATTTGATAAATCTAATGTAGTGTTCGATTATAATCGTGTTTCCGATTTAAATCTAACAAACATAACGCAATCCAAATTTTGACCCTAACTAGTCAGGTACGAACCTGCAAAAAGTATTGGCAACATGTGGCTAAATTAGTTACTCGACACAATTTTCTTAACCATCTTCCACATTTCCTTACAGTAAGGTAATTAGGTGACAAAATATAACGTTAGCGACATTTTAAGTCTACAGTTGTGTTGTCTGGAGCCAAAATGGCGGCACTAAACTAGCTGTATTTGGCGCGGCGAGAAATATTCATGCCTCTTCCATAAAAATGCTTTGTTATCGAAAAATCAAAGAGAAAACACACTTTTCCATATTCACTATTGAAAACGTAGCAAAGAAATATAAAATGACGATCTCAGTTTCTACTTTTCGACGATGTGGAGGAAAAAGGTCACCTACGTCCAAAATCTACTGATGAATCAAGCAACAAATCACTCGAGATCGGAAGATTTTAGTCCCCAAATCCATGTTGAATTGCAGTACCAACTGTGGGGCAAACATATCATTCAATTTGGTGTTCACTAAAAAATTATGCCTTGGGGTTTCAGGCTCCAGTAGCCCGACCAACGAGAGAGTCCCCAAAGCGAACCACCTCAATAAATTAAAATGGGCTAAATATAAGCCTCAATTGACTTCCAATGAATGAAATAAAGTCTACTGGACCGACATAGGCATATTTTACTTATTCGGAGCTCATTAATTGGTTCAAGTCTGGCGGATGCCACAAAAGGCTCAGAAATACGAAAAAGTTCGTATGGCAGTTTAACACATAGGAGGATCGATTATGGTCTGGGGTTAAATGACTAGGTGGCGGCGTGTTTACCTGGTCATTATCGATAAAATCATGACCAGGGAGGTCTAATTAATCATTCCAAACGATAATTTGAAATTATTTGATAAAAACCTGACCTGGGGAGGAATTTTATATTCCAAAAATGCAATGACCCAAAACAGCTACCCCAATTAACGATGCAAGTTTTTGGAGACCGAAAAGGTTAAGCTTCTTTCGTTGGCTGCACAGTCTCCTGATGTCATTCTGATTGTTTGAGCTGCGAAAAGAGAGACCGGTGGGAAACCACTCGACGAAAAACGAGCTTGTCAAAAGTTCGAAACAAGTGTGGCCAACCATATAAAAAAAACGTTATAAAGAACCTTGTCGAATAAATTTCACGGCCTATTTCTGCTCTTATTGCGTCGAGGGGAGGTGCCACGTAATACTAGAAGCAGTGTGTCGCAGTAAAATTAGCCTTTCTTTGCTCTATGATTTTTTAAGTTAGAGGGTGCCAATACTTTTTGCGGGTTAATTTTGCAAATTTCCCAGCAAATTATTTGAAAACTGCGTTAATATAATTTTGAGCAGTAAAACATGATTATAATCGAAAACAACATTAAATTAGCTAAATGCTTACAAATTTTCATGCTAATTCGATAATGCATGTCAAAGTTATAGCCAATTTTATTTAGCTTGCGTGGGTGTTGCCAATACTTGTTCCATTAACTGTAGCTGTGCAAGTTAAATATGTATATAGTGACTTGAATTAACTGGCTATGTTTTGTTAAAATTAGCATCGTACAATGAGTAAATGACTTTTTCACTTGTGCTGATTTTGAAATTCTTCGGCATCCCACAAGGCCTCAATATCATCTAAATATAAACAAATCATAAATTTATAGTAAAAATGTCACTGATACTCATACAGTAAATTACTGTTTGTGAATTTATGGTCGTATTTACGTACTTGCTAAACGTTGTAGTCCCATTTTAGAGAATATTTGAGCCACACTTTTTAATGATGGATGCTGCGTCGTGTTTTTATGATGTCTCTGTAGAATTTCATACACAATGGCAAACACAGGCTCGTCATTTGCCACCATTTTGTCGATATCGGCCTCGTCTTCCGGCGTAAGTTGAAAGTTCTTGGAGAAAGTCTTGACCTCCCGGATCGCATGATGGTTGTCGACTATAAAATTAACAACAGCCTTGAACTGCTCTTGCGACTTGATGTGCTTCTCCTCCTCTGCGGAAATGGGTGTGGATGATTCAGCCATATTTTTCTGTAATAAGAATCGTGAATCACGATTATTCGTGATAACGGAATTGCAGAAAAATAAACTTTAACAAATATAGTGAAATAAAATTACCTCTAGCTTCAGAATAAAATTTCAGCTAAAGGATTGAGAAAATTACTTGGACACACTACTGTGAAATATAAATACGTTGTTTCAAATTTTGTGAATTTTTAGACAGCAATTGACACGATGGGAAAAGAAAATTCGCACAATCGCAGACAAAATCATTACGTGCATCTATAGTGTCCGGCTGGGCGAGAAATTGACGCTTCACGTCCTTCACGTGTCACGACTCCCCTCAAAATTATCCACACATATCTCTCGCTCTGATGTAAAAATGCTGCCTTGCATTAAAAAAACTTTGTCAACAGTTGTAAGAAATACACTATTTTGAACGCGTTTAGTTTATTATTTATCATTTTATACCATAGTTCAAACTTTCAACAACAAGTATTGTTTAGGGCGAAACATAAATTAAAATTAGATAATAGTAATTGGAAGGAGGAACTTGAGAAATGTGATGAATAATTCATGTAATTCGATTCGGAATGAATCGATGAGAACAGGATTTCAACACAAATAATCACTCCGTATTACAACCTCCCACTGTATTGCATTTATTTTCATCATAATCATTAACATGATTCTTAATTTACTCAAGTCTTTTGGAATGTAGTGCACAGGAAGTTGCTGCTTCATGTTCATGAATACTTCAAGAGTCGTGTCGGTTGGAGAAAGTTGTGTAAGCTTGAAGTAAACTCATGATATTAAAAGCAACATTTGGTTTTGAAATCGATATGTACGTATATTTGACGTCGTAAAGCTTTGCTAATAATATAGGACGTGGCATTTCTGAAAATGTGGAAATGCGTAATTTGAGACAAAAGTAATGATTGGAATACGATATGTAGGAATATTATCCCACGGAACTTGCATCAATGTGCCACAAAACGAATATCTGGTGAAATGAGGGTGTGACCAAGGCAAGAGACATGGATCGAGAAGCCCTCAATATACCAACAAGAGTACGGCTATGCGTTCTATCATATGAAAAAAGTCTCGTGTACTGATAAATCAAGTTGAAGAGTTGAGAGAAAAGAGATTTGATTAGTCGTTTGCTTGGTGAGTTGACTTTCAGGCTTTGTGATTCCATTAGCTCGTGGCAACCCTCCACCGAAAAAGAGATCCAACCAGCCTCATTCTGAATCTTGATCCAATCCTTTCTCTGCACGCACGATATCATCTTTTTCCCAAGGAAAATACTGTCACGAGCTTTCCCCCAGATTGCCAAAGCCACAAGAAATCAGGACGAATTCTACCCCGGGTGATTCGACACTACTTCCCTCGCGTTCAGCCAGAACATCATCCTTTAGGAAATGTGAAAGCCACATCCTTTAGGATGTGGCTTCCTTTTAAAATCAGGGATAGCTTTTACTTTCAATTTAGTACTATCCAAAATCACAACTCGATATTGTGTCTGCTGGTCACTCAATTTGACGTGGTTTTGATTTCGACCAATTCAATTTAGAATAAAGTGATGTCCAATTTGAAGCCAGGAATGCCATGCAATATATCTCCGTGTGTTTTTGAGAGATGAAGGTGGTCGTCGAGATATCCAACTTGGTATTGACATGTTCAGCACTATTAAGTTACGTCCTGCCCAACACGATCCTCCATCAGAAAACAAAGTTCTCGTTAAAAGCCTTTTTTTGGACAAGGATCTGGACCGTTCAATTGCCTTCTGGGCTGGCCACCCAGCATACAGCGTGGCACTATTGCTATCATGTCATATCCTTGATTAATGTCAGCTTCAAGATGTACCAGAATTGAAGTTGACACCAAATGATATTTCAAAGTCAACTGGCTCCAATCTCTGCACAATTTCGCTTAGCAGTGCGAGACCATTATATCATCATGACCCGACGTTCAGTACATAAGTGCAAAGGCATTTTGAGAATGTGCCGGATCCGCCGTCCAAAAATGCCGTCATTGCAAATCACATTTCAGACTTGGAAAGTGATGCACACAGTGACAGCAGAGTTCCTCCGCCGTATGGACGGATGTACTACTAACACACATAAGTCACTTAATCAATCCTCCATATGTATGTATGTAGGAGAAAGCTGGTAGGACTGAGCGACTAGCAAGCAGTACGAGAGCATCGCACACAATCTCGAGTCGCTTCCTCGTCCATTCTCTGGTTGGATGAAATCATGTCGTGTTCGTGTCAGTCACTTAAGTCGGATTCCAAGTTCGAACAATTTAATTTCCTCCTCTTCTGCTGTTGCAAAAAGTGGTGGAATTGAGCTCACGTTCCTTAACCGATGCAGTCACTGGGCTACAATGTAGTAGCAGCAGTTAGCATAGTTGTGATGTTGCATTAGCCGGGATCTGTCTCTCCAGTCCCTCCACTTATCCTTGGTCCGAGCTCTGGATTGTTTGTTGGATTTGGATCTGGGGAAATGTATGTCGCTGGGAGAGGAGAAGTGAGAGTGAGAGGGATAAAAAAACTGGGAATTGATTTCTACTCTGCTCCAGGGTTTTTAGGACAGGAGACCATTGATTGATCAACCAACACATGAAAGTAGCAGGAGGCTCACAACTGACTGAGTGAGTAGATATGTAGTCACACACATGAATGTATGAGATAGCATGGGGAGAAAGTGGCGAAAGATGTGCTCTTATGGAATGGGAGTAGAAAATGAACATTACATTTCACTTAGGAGAAAGACAGGGTTGATAATATTGAAGTGAAAGCAGGTTGAGATTGATTTGAGTCGCAGAAGATCCACTCCCAAATTGGACGAGTCTAAAATAACGTTCTGAAAGCATTTCTAAAAACGTCTCACTTGATTACGCATTTCGATTTTGGTTATGCTGGCTCTTGGTGGCTTAAAGTCGTTCCAACTTTTGAAAATGAGGCATAAAATTTTATCAGGTCACATATCGTTACATTTACTTCTCCTTAGGAATACATAAATAAAATAAACAGCACTTCATCCATTTCAAACAATGCTCTTTGATTTAGATATGTATGTGTGTCCTCATGACTTGAAAGGAGACGAGAGTGACCCAAATTTTTTCCATATTCAGACTCAAGGACTCAAAACTCAGTATGAGACGACATATAAATAGTTTGGTTGTTGGTCTATTGTGCAATTTACACAACAAACGGGGAGTCACTTGAAGGCGCAGTCACCAGCTAAATCCTTCTCACTCCTCCAGAGAAGAAGAAGAGGCCACCGACCCGCCCGCACAGCGACGACGACGACGAAACTGGATATGAGAGACTTTCACCGCATTCGGCATCAAAAGAGAAGAAAGATCTGTAAACTCGAATACTTTATTTTATTTTATTTCACGATGATGACTGACTCAATGCTCGCTCGCTCTGGATGTGCACACGCACAAACAAATACATTTCGCTTCTCTTTATGTTTAAGATTACGGCATGTGCTTTGCAAACGTGTACAAGAATTTGGGGTGTGAGATAAAAGTGGGAGCTCGCGAGGGGGTTGCACCACTCCGTAAATACATTTCGAAGCCCACTTATTCCTAAAGTCCTCCAATTTTATGCCAAACATTAGACTTTTTGGCAACTGGGTGAAAGTTGAGGGCGCGGAGGCATAATGATGAGGTTTCGGAGAAATTAAAAGAAAGAAAGAGCACGAACTTTGACGCCTCTGCTCGCTTCGTTTCCTCCTCAGCCGCCGAGTCTGCACTATTTTGTTGCAGCTCCACAAATAATTTATAATTTGAGAGAGGACGTGGAAGGAGGGAAAGCTACAGAAGAGTGACTCGATCACTCATGCAAAATAAAATGAAAATATTAACTCATTAATTTTTTTATTTAACAGCATAAGCAGCATATAAAGTTTTTCATGCTTTACGTAACAACTCTGTTAAAAGCATAATTCTCGCGAATTTGCATTAAGTCTTGATATGACCCATTCTTATGTGACTCACAAGTTCTCAGTTGATAAGTAAATAATAAGAACTGTATTATATTTGTTTTAGAGTGTTTATTTGCATTTTCTGAAACTGTAGAATTTAATGTTTGCATAAATATGTACAGCGTGTTATGCTTTGTCTGTTTGACAAACCTGGATAAATCGACCAAACCAAGACAAAAACTATTAATTTGGTAATTTCAAAGAAATTGCACATTCAAATCTGCGAGAAGATGAGTTTGGATTGCGACTTATCGTTAGACAGGAGGTTAGGTTGATGGATAAATGTGGCTCAATTTCAAAGTACGACGTGCGGATCACTTTCTTCGACCCAGATATCCTTTGTTTTGTTTTCCGCCAGTGATGCAAAACGTTTTCCAGTTGCCTGCTTCAGCACGAAGTAGTTCAGGCGGCTTATCTTTGGCCTCTCAGTGAAAGTAATCCCTTAAAACTCTAAGCAAGCAAACCAAAACCCACGAAAAAAGGAGCCCTCTCTCACTCAGCAGTTATGCTCTCGTCCGTTTAAATCTTTTTAAACCTCAACTTGCTCCTCCAAGTTTGGATTTTTCTTTTCTATGTATAGTCTCCGTATCATCTCAATCTTTCTGAACGAGAATCAAAGGCAAGTCTCCAATCTGTCTCATCGAAATTTTCAGCTCTGTGCTGCTCCAGCTTTGATTTTCTCTATTCAGAAAGCTTTCTCTGTATAATCTACATCAGTCCAAAGTTTTTTTCCACTTTTTGTCCTCGCACCCAATATGGTTCGCCTAATATCTTCTTTTCCCTCCTCCTACTCCGTCGCCCAGGATTACATCCTCCATCCATCCATATCCTGCACATCTTATTATTCCCCATTCTAATCTTCTCTTATCATCCTTCCAATCTTCTTCTTCTTCTTTGATTCCAAGTTTGAGAAGCCGAGTCAAATTCAAATCAGGGGAGACGAGACAACTTTGACGATCTCCTTCTACACGTCATCCCACCACCGCTAATGTGGTTGGATGAGATGAAAGTGATGATGTTGAATTGATGCTCTTGGTGACGTGGAGGAGATGCTTCCTTTTTTGAGGGTTGTTGCTGAAAAAAGAGAAAGGTTCCGTCGTTTGTGTTTGCTGATGGGCTGCTGCTCCTTAAATCTTTTTGTGTGTGATAATACTACGTAGTAAGAACATTTCGAAAAGTTTCTCTTTTCAGCATGCAAATTAAAAAGTGACGTTTGGGGTGCGTTTGTATTGAGACTGACTGCTGAGTAGTAAATCTACTACATATATCACGTTACACAACATCAGTCTCAGTCACTTATTGGTATTATAGATACAAATATTAGTAAATAACCTGATGCATATTATTCCACCGTAGGTATTCTATTGCTAATGAGCCAAGCCTGTGAGCAGTATTTATTTTTATCAGAGATGATGATGAGGCAGCTGAGATGAGAACAATTTGGCTACTTTACACACCAGGACCATCACCGGAAGCTCTTGCAGCCTGAAGGGGCAATTGCTCACAGTTACAGTTGGAGCATAATTTATTTGGCAATTTTACACCGATCCAGCCGCCTTTGAACTGCAGGCTGAAAGTGGAGAGCAAACAATGAAGGGAAAGCGACGTAAGTGAGTTCCTTGAGGAAGTTAGCTTTCCCTTTTGAGTGAGAAATAGAATTCCCGTTTTTACGCCAAAGTTCACCCTTTCCTCCTCGACCACGGCTGCTGCTGTCCCGTCGTCACAATGCAATATTCCTCCCTTTGCCTCTTTTCTGCTCCGTTACTAATACGCCATGATTGATGACCATCCTCCGGCAATTATGGTTATACGGTGACTACATGAGTACACAAGCACAAAGGCCATCTCTCCCTCCAACTTTCCTCTTCTTCTCTCTCTCGCACAACACAAGTAAAAAGTGCTACTTTGCTACTTATCAAAACATCGCAACTCTCAAGCAAGCTCACTCTTTCTTCCCTCTCTCATTCTGTATCAACTCCCGTCCAGCCCCGATAAGTGAAAACATTTCCTTCCTCAAACAAAAATGCACTTGCTGAGACGACGAGAAGGGTGAGAGTTCAACTTGCACCCACCTCGTATCAGATTTCTCCCGATATTCAGCTCAATTTCGATTTAGGAATGAAACATGTTGATCAATAATTCAGTTTTATGAGAATGTCCAGCATGGATGGGCAGACAGGCGAGGTGTGTTATGTTGTTGACTCCTAAATTGATCGGTCCGTCCGAGGTGTTGAAGGGCATTTTCCCTGCTGCTGCGAATGACAAGGTGAATATTATATGTTGAATGGGCTGCTGCCATTTTTCTGAAAATCGGGAGAAACAAGCGCATATGTGCATTTACCAACTCATATCCAAACATATATACAAACCTCCGAGTAATCTAACGATAAGTAAGTAATCCCTACCTCTAACCTCGTTTACTGAATCTCAGTCAGTGCAGTGGATTATTGTTTGCTCGTGTTTTGGAATTATTGGATCATGCTCAAGAATGGAAAGGGCCAAAATATATAATGGGCACAAGGAATGGGAAGACAAATACGTTATGCGATGCATATGCTAAAGTGGTGAGTAAATGAATGGAGAAAGTAGGAAAATATACTTGCTTGTTTGTTCTCCGAGAGAAAAGGGAGCTTGACTGGGACTCAGGAAGTCGGGGGAAAACAAACGGTATATTAAACCCTTGGAGTAGTCGGGCGCTGGATGATGCATGGACCATAAGGGACGACGACGACTAAGCGAGCGTTCCAGCTGCCCCGTCGCGCTGTTTGTCTGTCGAAAAGGGAAACAACCCGAAACTCTCTGCCTTTCTCACTTCTTTTGGCCGTGTGGGAATATGATCATGCCGTTTACGTTTACGTAATGTCATGTAAAAGTTGGTTGCTTGTAGCAAACCAAGCAGTGCGTGGTGGGCGAGTGAGTGAGTGGACTTGAGATTCCAACATTTTGAGTCTTATGGGAGAGAAATAAAAATCCAACATGATATTTTGACTTTATTGTAGTCCTCAAAAGAACAAGGGAGGAAATACAGAGGAAGATCTCCCTCGCCTCCTTATTACTCTCTATGTAATATTAACCTAAGGAGTACAGCAATATATAGCGTATCGTATATATATGTACTTATATCTTCATACCAAGACGATAGCATCATAATAATAATAATAGAGTTATTGTAGATAGTCAACTTTATGTCACTTTGTAAGTCCCAACAAGTACATAAACATTACTTTACATTGCTTAGTATTCTTACGTCACTTTACACTTTGTTTACAAGGATTGAGGAACGGAAAACAACAAATTTCATGATTCTGGGCCCCGGATTTTCAAAAAAGGTTCCATAATATCTTGAATCACCGCGACCCCAAGTTCCTTTTTGCTTGTATAACCTCGTGTTCTTCGATTACACTTGTTTCAGGCGTAATAAAGTTATGACATGGCATGTAATAAACGAGGTAGGAGTTGGTGTAAAAGGTATTTGTTTGGATTTGACGACACCCGACAAGAGCAACAAAGACATGGCGTCGTTACATGCTACCTCATTTCAGCTGTGTCGTTGGGTTTATGTAGTGGACGAATATCCATCATAATCATTTTCTGCTGCTGTCCAGCTTTTGTAGTTGTGTGAAATGTGAGAAGGGGCATAAAAGTCTCGCCACTTTGATCTTTATACATACATGACACATTTCCACAGGTCTTAAATTTCATTGTGCACGTATTAGGTGTCATTCCGCGCATTGCTACATATTTCATATACGCAAGGTCCTGTATCAAATAAACATGAATTGTGTACAGTTTGACCATCATGCGGCAATACAATTCAAAATAACGGTGCGTGTAAATAAACAACTAATCCCACGACAAGAGGAGACTCCTTAAAAATGTATTCCCTGAATTTCCGCAGACCTGGGAATCCGTATCTATCTGCGAATAGCTGATACATAGAAATAGTACGGTTTTGGCCTGTAAAAGAGGTAGAAATGTTTCTATACAGATCACTCGACGTTTCGTGTGCCGGTGCGTGTTTACAACCTGTTCATTCATTCACAGAAACTTTGGAACCGCAAAATTAAATGTTTCCGAATGCACTTTATTTAGTTTCCGTAATGGGGAACACACCTTTAGTTTTCTTCCTTCTGTACTTTTACGGACAGGTGCAGCTTTCCTCACTCCTCAATCCTGGGAGTTTATGGCATGTTAGTTTCACAATTACTCTTATTCCGACTGTTTTTTTTTTCTTCCGTTTTATGCTCCACTCTCCTCGGAATTCTTGTGCTTTGTTGGCTATTGTAGTTGCGTAGAAAAAAGTTTTTTCCTCTCTTCCTTCTTCGTCATTATGTTGGAATCGCTATTAAAGTGAAGGGGATCCGGAAGACGGCAAAATTTTAACGTCTCATTTATTCCAACAAGTAAGTCGTAAATCTTGAGTAGAAGTACTAGTCCCCCGAACCCACGTCTTCGGAATGGTTTGGTCTTCCAGGCTACTCGTCGTCGTCGCATCCTGTGGACGCCGTTCTCCCAACTGTTCAACTGTCAAACCGTCGAAACGAATCCGGGGCAGAAAGATTTAGCACGAATTGAAACTTTGTGGATGACCATCCCAATTGACCAGGGCAAGGTCTCATTTTTATTGAGATGAGTTTTTTTTTGTGGAGGGAGAGCAAAGAGTGGATTTTGTGGAATTGCAAACGTTTTACATCCAGTCTTTGTTGCTATGATGGGGGCGAGAGTATTTATTTCCACGCAGATTGAGGAGTATTTAGAATTTGCGGATAAGCGGATTAGTACAAAACCCATGTGCCGCTGAGCATTAGCCAAGTGCTGAGTCCGCAAAGGAGGGCGGGAAAGGGGAAGAGGGAGGAGGAGATCACAGGCGGACCGTTGACCGGAGAATAAGCTCTGCTGGACTCGGTGTGGCTGGAGATGGATATGGAGTAGCTGGCCTGCGTTATGTTGAGGGAGATGGTGCCCTCATGGACGCCTTTAGAATTTTTGACCAGGAACATATACTCTCCAGCGTCCTCCGACGACACGTTCAGGATCGTCAGCACGGCCAAGTAACAGTCCCCAGTTTTATCATTTTTCTGCAAACACACAAGAACAAGGGATTAATAATTTATTATCATTATTATCCGCCACAAGGGGCTCATTTTTTGTTGGGGCGACCAACATAGGCTTTCACTCGCTTTCACCGGCTTTCTCTTCCTCTCCTGGGAGGGAGGATTGTGTTTGTAGCATTTCATGAAGTACTTATGACTACTTGTCGTTTCGACTGACCAAATACGACATGGGTAATAACTGCCGCTAAACAACACCATCTTATGCTTTTTTGGCTTCGCAATGTGAGAGAATATACATAACAACATGGACTGCTACGTGTGTATTTTCGTCCATGGGTCTCCAGCAAGAGTTGTTGCCTTTCTTGTTTGCCAAAAAGGAGAATTTTTTAGGGTCAGCATATCGTAGAGAATGAAAGCAACCGAAACTCAATAAACAATTCTCCCAAGTGAAAGCAAACACGATGAAAGGAAAAAAAAGTTTGACGGAATCGCCACTAAAAGAATGAACCACAGGTGTGCACTATTGGCAGGAGGAAGAATTGGGGAAAAAACGAAAAGGCCTGACTGCTAACCACCACGTATTTTTACACTATATGCTCTACTCGTTTGCTGTACTTTTGCTGAATTGGCAAAAGTTTTCTGAGAATACATTTCTGATTTTTGAAAGGTTCCAAAATAACCGCAACCAAATCAAAATAATTGAATACATAAATTGTTGGGTAATTTTATTTAAGCGCATTGAAAGATTTGACGTCTTTTTTACCAGACGTCTACCACCGCTGACGATGTCTCTTACGTACATGAACATATGTACAACAAGCGAACTTAATGTCTAAAAAAACCTCAGAGTTCAAACAACCCTGTTGTCCGTATTTACGCTGTAATGACTTTCTCCCTGAACCCGACTAATAATAGGTCGCCTTGGGAATAGGGAATGAACCTATTTGAATTTGATACTTTGGGAAGACGAACTCGCACCGCACCGCCACCGTTGGAATGCGAGAAGTTTGTGTGCCCCTCTGACTGCGTATTCTTGCGGGCTTTCTCCTCCTTTAATCCAGCCGACCACCTTCACAGCTCCTTCACCTCAGGAAGAAGAAGATGATAAGAAAAGTTTGCCTCCTCCCGAGGAAAGAAACACTCAATTATTTCCGAATCAAATGGGCGAATAATGCATCAAAGTAAAACAAAGGGTTGCTTATATTCGGTTCGTCTCTGCCTGCTTTGTTCCTGGTGCTTCTGTTGTTAGCTCACCTCGCTGCAGTGTGAGGTGAATGTGGCAATGACTCCTTTCTCTCCTCAGCTAAATCAACATCTGCTGACGGCTGTTTTGAGCTGTGCTGCGTCTTTGTCCTCACTTTCATTCATCTTGCTCCCGGCTGGCTTATGCCCGCCTTTGTTTGCAGCCCTATCGAATTCTTCCTAATGTTTGGTTTTGTGTTGGTTTGAGTTTGTCTACAATTTTTGTGTTGTTGTTGTGTGTGAGCCTTCTTTGCCCGTCTGTAGTCTCGTTTTCGGAGAAAGTTTTCCCATTCCATTGTTATCTAAGTTAATGGGTGGCAGTCTCATTAATCGCCATTGAGCCGTACTTGTAGTGCTCATTTACTCCACAAAAAGATACCATCACATGTAAAGTACTGCATACACGGGTACAACTGTTGTCATAAGTGCATTATAACCGTTGGACTATGCCAAAATATGTGTCTGTGTATGTACATATGGATGAAGTCTGTGCAGTTAATTTCATTGACAGGGCAGCAGACAGCGAAAGTGCAGTGCACAACGGGTTGCTTTGTTGTTGTCACACGAGTTGGAATGAAGAATATATAAATGAATAGAATTGCTGGCTGCCGTTATTGCCGAGTTCTGCCTGATGACCACATTTACTTTTATTGCGTGAAAGTATACGGCGAGACGGCAATTTAATCGGCGGAAAGAAATGACACAACCAAATGCTGACTGAGGCGACTTGGAATGTCTTAATTGATTTAGCAATCAGTTAATGAAAATGCTGTTGGTGTAGCCTTTAAATATCCGTGTAAGAATTTGTATGTATTTATAGAATAGCAATGTTAGTTTATTCTGTTTATTTATTTTTAAATAAAAGTTGTCCTGTTGTGTTATGTCCGACCCAACGTAATCAAAACTTTACAATAACTAGGTAACTACTCTCCCCAACATTTTCCACCAATTCCATCAGGAAATGTCTGGAGTAGTGAAAACTGACTGAATCTCAACTTCTTTGAGAGCCTCCACAAAGAAAGTTGTTGGTTGCACTTCAAAGTTCCCATTTTGCCCAATTAATTATGGACTTCTCTCCAACTCCCCAGGTTGAAGAAGCCACAGAATAACAACACAAATAACACGCAGAACAACCACTTCAAAGTTAATAATTTAGTGAGGATGTGGCAGCCTGTGTAGCAACCAACCCGAATTTCACTCCCTAGCAGTCACTTCACTGGAGGCAGAGGACGCACATAATATGCACGTTTCAAATGCCAGCAGACGCATAAAGTTTAAACTTTGTGTGCGTGGAGTGAAATTCGCACTTTCATTAAGACAAAAGAAATACAGCAAATTAGCTTTGAATGTTGAGAGAGGACGGTAAACGGAGTGAAAATTGGAGATGGAGTGAAGAAAGTTAGGTAAACAGAGACGGGATAATCAGAGCGGTTTCCTATTCGGCTGGGTCGCCAGAAACTTTTGGAACAATGCCACGCTATCCTCTCATCCTCATTCAATTAGATTAGATTAAATAACCCAAAAACCAGACTAGATTGCTGATTCTGATGGAGACAGTAAGACGAAGCGTGGGCTTTGCAGGGCTCAAACTTTCCCTCAACCCAACCGCTCCCAATCCATGAACCCATTTCCAATAATAATTCCAACTCTATTATTGCTTTCCTTTTAATTCCCGACCTGTCTGCTCCACTCCATTAAAAGAAGAGGAGCAGCAGAGCAGCAGCAAGTGGGCTGAAAGAGTATCTCTGGTCAAACAATGATGTGTTTGCATAAGCTAATGCGCCCAGTTTCCGGATTTCCCATAAGTTGCTCGTCTGTGTGCATAAGGAAGAGAAAGAAAAAAGTGCTCGCAACTTTTGAAAACTAAGCAACTTTGAACCAATTGAGAGGGAATTGAAATGCAAATTGAAAAGTCATTCGAGAGTTCTCTCCCAGAACATGGCTCGTTTAGCAGACGAACATCACTTGAGTCTGGGAATAATGAAAACCCAAAAATATAGTGTGGTGGTTCTTCGTGGCATTGTTTAGATTGGTCCTGAAATGTCATTAGCAGAGCTTAAATGAAAGAAATAAACTTTACTTCAGTTCAGAGTTTGAATAAAAATTCCTAAACTAACAGATCGACCAGTAAGTAAAGAAAGGAATGCTTTAAATATTTTCTAGAAGAAACTTTATAGAAAATTGAATTAAATTATTATTATTATTACCAACGCAAGGGAGTTTTTAGTCGAGTAAAAACTGGGACAGGAATAAAATATGTATTGAACAACTTCCTCTGACTTTGAATTGAATTGATCTATTGATTTTGTTGTTTTTTTACAAAAAATACACGGAATGGAAAGTCAGCACGAGCTGAAAGAAAGTCCAAACTTGGAACATGGTGTGCTAAATAATTCTACATAATTCTCCACGAATTCATTCCTTATTATTCTTCCCGTATGCATACATACATATGTATATATTTAGATGTGAAATCGCATGCATCGTTCATCATCAGTCACTTTGCTTTGCTGCCTGCGAGTGACTTTCTCCAAGTAAAATATTTCCCATGCAGACTCTCCACGCACGTAGACCTCCCAACACATCCGACACATGTGGGCACACATATTATTATTGAATTGATTTGATCAAATAAACATTCACAGTTGGAGGTCGAATCCTCGTAATCAAAATCGTATTTGCATTCAATATAATAATTCAATACACAGAAAGGAAATTGACGGGGAACTGAAGTTGATTGAATTAAATAAGATGAATGTTGTGTGCGCTGTTTACTTCTTTAACGTCCGAGGTCACATGTAGGCCACCCTGTTCTGCAGTAGACGGTTATTTCACAATTCTGAAGCGGAAGCGTAGTCCAATATTGTGGACTTATTTGGGACACTGCTTTTAGCCTGCTATAACAATTTGGAAGGGATGATCATCATCGGTTCTCTCTCGCAGGGAAATTCCATTCCGGAAGATATGCACAGGATTGTAGAATCGAGATGGTGAGACTGGAGCATTATTGCTGAGCCATTACCATACCACAACTGCCAGGGGTGACAATTACGAAGCAGGAACTCCACCCTGTAGTTGCTGACTCAGAAAATGTGTGAAATGGATGAGAGCAGCAGCAGCAAAGTCTGTCTCTCAATCAACCATTTCAAAAGTCAACACCTTGTCACGGGTGCCAGGCTCACATGCGGCTTATTCCTCCCATTCATGAAGAGAGAATATTTGAAATTCCAAATTTAGCCGACCGTTGCACAAGTTGAGAACGTAAGTATTATCATGGAGTTATTCTAATGAATGTGGTGACAATCATTATTTTAAGGGGAATATACCACGTTTATGGCGGTATGATAATACGAAAAACCAACAAATGCTCATCTGTGATGATGATGAGTAGATCTCGTGACGAGTGAACTCGTTCCCCTGCATGTGCTGCTGACAATGAGTTGGCGTTTGGAGATTAAACAGGAACTTGACACCTCTGGTGACAGCAAAGTTGGGTCAAACCAACTCGGGCTTCTCGGTTTGACATCCAACAGGAAAACCCACACTGCGTCGAATTGAGATAATGCAACACAATACTGGAGAGATAATTGCAAGCGTATTTCAAACCCTGTCATGCCACATGATTCCACGTATTCATTAGTCATTAGCGGTTGGCTAAAGCTGGTGAAGTGGAAATCCAGCTTTGCTTGTCAACCATTGTCAAGAGAGACCATCGATCCCACCAGTGAAATGCGATGCCACGTTAATTGCGAGACTCAAAAACTCCGAAACGCCCATCGCTT